CAAGAAGAGGTGGGAGATTTTCCTCCTGCTCGAGCTCAACAACTTGTGATGGCCAGGTAATTGTTGTTGTTTGTTTGACTTCCTTCCTCAGTCTGCTAGCCACGTTCTCTACTAGTTGTTCATTGCTTATTCCAAGTGAGCAGATAGTGGACTCAATGTATGAAGCGCCACCTGCTGTATCGTAGACAACCTCGCTCTGATTCTTCTGAGCACGTACATGAAAACCTATTCCCACTCCAAATTCCCGTAATAATATCTCCTTCATGTAGCTCGATTTCACCCCGGTAGTTGGGAAGCCATAAGTACCCACAATGGTTTTATAATCATGTAGCAGCCCTTGCAGGGTCCTTATCTCATGGTCCTCAAAAATAACCTTGCGAGCATGATCTATAAACATAGTCTGTGCCTCACGAAATGTCACATCGTTTACGAGATTATGCTGTTGTTCAACAGGAATCTTTTGATAGGCGCCAATGTACTTAAGCCAACACTTATGATGGTACCTTATCTCAGTTGAAAAGGGGTCAGTTATTGAATCGATAAGGCGGTTGATCCTGTCTCTCATGGCATCATCCTGAAGAACTACGGTGTGGCTTTTAAAGACATTCCATGCCGGTATGTACGAAATAAGAAGCCATTTTCCCGTGCGCTCAGGATGCTTGGTGTCTTCAGGTTTCATACACCACACACAGAGATTTTTGTCATGTACGATACCCACGCTCGATCGGAGACATTTTGGTGCAGGTCCTGCCAAGTCGTGATCATCTGGGCATTCATGAGAAGATGAGTCTCTTTCACGTTTTTGTTGCCTGATCTTTGCTCTATTCAATTTATCTGAGCTAGATATGTCAAAACGACAATTACCATGCACATGTTTACCACTGGGCCCCTGTTGCCAATTCACAGTGTCATACACATTTCCGAACATATCAAGACCTTTCCAGTTAAAGGCTTTAAGTTTGAGTTTTTCCCATGCTTCTTCACCTAAGTTGTCGATTGCATTTGATGCATCACACGATTTTTGGCATTGAAGAAGACAAGAAAACTGTGTTTTAGAAGTCATATTTTACAGTTTTCAAGAAAAACATAAAGAAAACAGATGGAAACAACACATTACATGTTAAATTTGCATATTATCCCGTCATATTTCCATAAACATGCAAAATTAATATGGCTTCCTTAATTAATATGGTATGTACGTCATGTAATATAAATATAGTTAGGTTAAAAATGAAACACGTTTTCTTGGCGAAATTTGACTATTTACTTCAGGGTTTTTATTAAATAGGCTCCTAATGTTCGTTTTATGACGAAATTTTATTGCAAAGCGCACAAATAAGTATTTTTGAAAAGACCGATACCATTTATTAAAAACATTATTTATTCAAAATGGCCGCCGGTCCCCATTTTTAAATTTTTCGCTCTGCAGATTGTTGCCCAGATTTTGAAGACCGGCATGGAAGCTTATTTTATCATAAATACCCTAAATAATGAAAATAAATCATAAAGCTTTACTAGCCGGAGGTTGGTCACGGGATGTAAGACTTTGACCCTACTATGAATTCACATGACTCCCCCCTTTTTCCCTTGCATGAAAATTGGTGACCCTCCCCCATTTTGCACCAGCCCTCCCCCTATAATTAATGACCGGTCCCTTATAGTATCTCGCGCTGCATTGCAAAATCATGATTTTGAGTGAAATACCGTAAAAAATCATATTATTACCTGGTACAAATGCTGTTTTTTCATTGGACAATTTGAATTTGAGTTATAATATTGTTAAATTAGAATGTTAGGGTTTGTAATCCAAGTGAGAATATATACATTTTAAGACCTAGCCAGGAACGACTGTGAAAAATGTATTTCTAGTACTGAGTTAATGCGAAAACAGATTGTATGTTCCCATGATGCATTGCGCGCTCATAGTTTAATGTTTAGGTTTTGAGTTTTCGACGGACAACCTTTTTTGAATTAGCTGTTTAAGACGAAAATACGAAGGGTGACACGACACAGCCTTTTTTTATATTTATTATAATCGCCTTTGAGTTTGGCATTAACGTTTAACAGAAAGCCAAGCTATCTCGCTTTCCTGCGAGATGATTTCATCTCGTGTTTGTTATTAACATGGACGTTCGAGGCCCGACAAAACAAACCACTTGGATCGCTGTTTTTCACAAGCCTAAAACGGTTATATATACCTTTAATAACCCACAGAGTCGCTCACAGAGAGTACAGTATTAAGATCGAAATTTGTTGAGAAAATCTTATTTACAACAATCAATATATTCGCGTGAACAGAGAAATAACACTCGGCCCGCTTAGCCTTAGGTGAGCCAGTCCCATTGCGTTTCAATTAAATAAATATACAGTATGTAAACGCTTCAATCTCGAAACCAGAGCCTGCAATCCTCTGTGGAGGCTTGCTGAGGCTCTGGGAAACACCGGCGACTTTTGCACGAAAATCAGTACATTTGGATGCAGTACTCCGCTCGACATTTATAAATAGACATTACTGCCGTCAAACATGAATTATGCCGTTGTTTAAGCTTATTACGACTTTAATTCTTCAAAGAACACTTGCCATGGTTTTGAATTGTTGTAAGATACTGGTAGTGATTTATTTTAACTTGTTTAATTACGGTAAATCATGGATTGTTGTGTTATTTTAAATATTATAGGCAACGGCTTATCATGACCTAATATGGTAATGCTGCACTGTTGTTATTCTAATTTTGTTATTTATAGCATATCAATATCAGAAATAGAATAGTCTTTTGATTTCATATGAGAAGCTAGGAAAGCTTAATAAGTTTATTAATGTTATGCTGTGTGTTTCATTGATATGTTTAAACATAATACACAAAGAGAAATAAACTTTATATTAATTTTAAACGATGTTTGAAATCCGAATAACTAAATACGGCTCAAAGTTTGAATAATAATTAGCACTTGAAAAACTTTGAGGGCCGCTTGGGCCTGGGGACGAGGATGTTGAAAAACAACCAATCAGAGCCCGACTTTCACCGGTGTTTCCCAGAGCCTCAGCAAGCCTCCACAGAGGATTGCGGGCTCTGGTTTCGAGATTGGTAAACGCTTATAAATTAAAACTCATTTCAATAATTTGTTTTATGGACGGGTAAACCTTTTTACATTATATAATACAATTTGCGAATGCCCGCTATATAGGAATGGGCGCACATGTTTTTTGATCAATAATATGTAAACAAGGTTTACACATGCAGTGAGCTAAAAAGAGCTCACTGGGTTTACATACACTGTCCAGGGCTTATTTTAACGTGCAGTTCTACACAAAATGTGCAGTTCTAAACCCATTTGTGCAGTTCTTAAAACACAAATGTGCAGTCACCAAACGAACAAAAATAGCCTTAAAGGTAGGTTACAGTCGCATCTGCGCATGCGCTGCACTTTTGTTTATGTGGGGACACAGGAAGTTGTCATCCTCTGTTTGTGCTCGGTCCAGTCTCAAATGTGTCAATAACACATGCATTTTCTGTGCAGCAGGGTGAGGAGCGTGAACGAATAGCTTGACTGCTTTCAACTGGAATTGATTCTCAAAATACTATATATTGAGGCCAAATGGCAAGTAGAAAAGAATATTTTGATAGAAGGAATGCTTCAAGAGTATATCTGCTTGATAGCTTACCTCGGTGGAGAGCGTTCAAAGAAGAAAATGGCATAGAAACTGACAGGGATGTTGCGAACATGCTGCTTGATCGGTACATGGCAAGGAATCTGAGCGTTCGGTGTGTGATAAGATATGAGACAAGAAAACATTTGAGCTTTAAATTCGTATCATATATAGCTATAATGTACTGTATTGGTAAATATATTTGCATGTTTTAGCGATGCAGAGATTCAAATGGACAAGGCGAGCACATTGTCAAGCGATAAGTCAGTGACACCTCCGACCAGAAGCAGGAATGAACATGATTTCCCCCTTCCTGGTAAGATATTGTTGTTGCCGTAATTATTAAATTAAAACATGTTTATATGATGCTCATGAACACATATGACAAGCGAATGTAACTAGGATGTTCTTTTATCTAGTTGATAGTTCAACACCAAGCGCTACAACTACAAGAAGTTGGCGGCACTTGTCTGTGGATACAATTTCAACATTGTCTGCAAAGTCTTTCCGGTAATTTGAGTCTCAACTCTATCATTATCACATCTCATTGTTCGAACAAATGCAAACAAACAATGAAAAATTACTGCTAAAGGTAGGGTACAGTCCGTATGTAAACAAAGCCTTTGTTTACATTTCGGTATTCAAAATATTGAACTTTATTCGACAACTATTTATATTTTCATGCTTCTACAGTATAATAAATGATCAAGATACAACCAGGCTTTGCAAGAACATAAAATGAAATAAAAACCTAATTAAAGTGTTTATATCACGGCATGAGACTCCTATGTGTGCATGTGCAGACCGGACTGTACCCTATCTTTAACCAATAATTTCCTGCTATATAGCTTTACTGTATATTTTTACTTATTAGATCTGACCCATATCCCATAAGTGAAGAGATCTTGAGTGCAAGTTCTCCTGGCATGAAAAGTGATAGTGAAGAAAGTGAAGGTGACATTGGTGACTTAACTGACGACCTGGCCACCAGAAGGGACCCTGACCTGCTGTCTCTTGATGAATAAGATTTTCATGAGTAAGTAAGAGTCTGTTATTTATACTATTAATACAAATTTATTACAGGCATTATAATTATTTTATTGGTAAGTCAAGAATTCTTTAGAAATATATTACTGTCGTTCCAATTGAAGTGTTGCTCAAATATTGATTCAATACATTACCTCGGGCTGACCAATTCATTTCATCAAGTTCCTCGAGATATTCACACACTTCCTAGTATAATTGTAAACTTCCTGTTGAATAGTTTGAATGCACCAATTCACCTTTGTTGTTTGTGCAACTAACCAATCATAAATAGAAAGGAAGTGACCAGAAATGATCAAATACTTGGAATTGGCTCTTTCACAGGAAGTGTATGAATATCTCGAGGAACTTGATCAAATGAATTGGTCAGCCCGAAGTAATGTATTGAATCAATATTTGAGCAACACTTCAATTGGAACGACAATAAATCCATGTTATCAATACATAACTATACCATATATAGCACATACTTGTATACCTGAAATTTTAGATCATTTGATCCTGGTTTTGATCAACCATTGGTAGATGACTTGCTCAATATAACTATCAATGGACATGATGGAGATGAGCCTGATGATGGGATTGAAGAAGGCGGATCCAGCCAACCAGTTACATTACATCAGTGTGTCTCGACCGTAGAAGTTGTCACCCCAGAACAAGCCATAAAAATGGAAAAGTGTATTGTTTTTACAGACACTCTTGTATCATTGCTCACATCTGTACATGGGAGTGTCTGTAAACGACAAGATTGTGGTCGTCCCTTAGTTTATCATAAAATATATGTGGGAACATGCCTTGTGGTATCCTGGAAGTGGCCGTCTGGGCATGTTGGTGGGAGATGGGCAGCTCAACCATCTTGTAACAAGATCAGAGCAGGAAATCTGATACTTTCGTCTGCGTTGTTGCTGTCAGGTAACTCATATACCAAAGTAGGGCTGATGTTCAACTTCTGTAATCTGCAGTATTTTTCATCTACACTGTTCAACCAGTAACAGAAGTTGTACATCATCCCTACAATCAATGAGTTCTGGGAACAACATAAGCAACAACTTTGGAGTGAAAAGGCTGGTAAAGATGTCATATTGAGTGGAGATGGAAGGAATGACTCTCCTGGTCATTCTGCCCAATATTGCACCTACAGCCTGGCAGACATGCAAGATAATGCTATCCTCCAAATGAATGTTGTGGATGTAAGGGAAGCCTCTGGAAAGAGCAACAACCTGGAGAGAATTGGGTTTGAAAGAGGGATGGATGCACTTCACATGGAATCACCAATAATCGTCAAAGAGGTGGTTACAGATGGTCACCTTGAGGTTGCATCAGTGATGAGTAAGTGTCAACTTTGTCAAATGACAAATTGATATGTCATCCAAGCAACAACCAATGTTTATTGATATCTCAAGAATTCCTTGTCTAACTCTGTTTCTACATGAATTAAACCAATATATAAAAGTTGGCAAACTCTTTCCTCTAAAAAACAGTAACTCTGAATAACATTTTGATTATTAATCCTGAGGATGACTACAAACTATTCGAAACATATATTAAAAATCAAATGTTATTCGGAGTTACTGTTTTTTTTGTATTTTCTTAAAATACTGAGTGATTCCCGTAATTCTTTGCACTACTTCCTGGCCTCTTTTCACTGCAGTTTGTACTTTTTACTGTGTATTTCATGATTGTACTACTCATTGTCTCTTTTATATTAGAAAAGGCAGAAAAGTATCGAAATGTTGGCCATCAGAATGACGTATGGCATGGTGGAAAAAACATTGCGAAAAAAATTAATGCTGTAAGTATTTGATCAAATTATATGGTCCAAACTCAGCTAAGTATATAAAAGTAAAAGAACAATTACATTATATGGTATTACAGAAACAATACAATAAAACCAAGTATTTTCATAATGTCCGAGTAACTATTGTTCTGTGCATTAGGAAAATACTCAGTGGTCCCTGCAATTATTTATTCTATACCTTGAAGTAATAGCTGTCTGAAACTTTTTGAATTTTGAGTAATAAGTTGCTCAAGATAAATGCAAATTTAATGTACGGTATATTAAGATATGCTAAAACAGCTGTATACTATTTAACATTGTTGTGTTTAAGTACTGTATATGCTTTGTTTTTAGGTGGCCAAAGCTAAAAATAATGAACAACTGAAGTTGTGGGCACCATCTATCAGGAATCATCTCTGGTACTGTTAAAAGACCTGTAATAACACAGGAGGCCCAGGCTCGATTTGCCCGCGCCCGCCTGTGCCTTCCTTATAACGAGGGAAGGACGGAGACATTGAGACCAAAATAGCCCAGACTTGGCACATGTCACACGAAACTATCCTCGATTTTTCGCTTTTAATGCATTTCTTTCACGATTAATCCATATCCACTCCAAGAATGATACCGTATAACTCTCAAAACAACGATGCTTTAATCAAAGAGCTTAAATTTGCTCTGAAATCCGTGAGGGAATAACAAAATTCGGCCAAAATATATCCGCGTGCCGGGTTTGCTGTGCAAAAAGCGGAAGTCGTTGAACAACTCAAAATACACTCAACCCTGATTGGACAACGAATATCAACAAACATTTCCAATTTTTTTAACAGTACTGTAATAATTTCAATCATACAATCAAAACTATTCACAAACGTTATAAAGTGTAAATATTACAGCATGTAAATATAACTGTAGTACGTTAATATGTATAATAAATTGTATTTCACATTGTGTTTGTTAAAAAAATTTGAAACGTTTGTTGATATTCGTTGTCCAATCAGGTTGAGTGTATTTTGAGTTGTTCAACGACTTCCGCTTTTTGCACAGCAAACCGGGCACGCGGATATATTTTGGCCGAATTTTGTTATTCCCTCATGGATTTCAGAGCGAATTTAAGCTCTTTGATTACAGCATCGTTGTTTTGAGAGTTATACGGTATCATTCTTGGAGTGAATATCGATTAATCGTGAAAGAAATGCATTAAAAGCGAAAAATCGAGGATAGTTTCGTGTGACATATGCCAAGTCTGGGCTATTTCGGTCTCAATGTCTCCGTCCTTCCCTCGTTATAAGGAAGGCACAGGCAGGCGCGGGCAAATCGAGCCTGGGCCTCTTGTGGTAATAATGATGCAAAAAAGCTCAAGGTAAGATCTTCCATAAACATTCTTATAAAATGACCATTTTTTCATGTAAAATGGACATGCATTTTAAGGTCAGTAAATAATATACTGTAGGTTGATATCAACCACATTCCCAGGGTCTTCATTGTTCAATGGTATGTACACAGCTTACTGTAGTTGAATATCTACAACCACGAAACATTGAGCTACACTGCTACAGTATATACAAAGTGAACTGACTGGCAAAACATTTAGATGGCATTAAGAATGAGGTTGGGTTGCAATTTTTAATAGGATAAATGGACAGGGATATTACATCACATTGCTAATGAGCATGAGTGGATGATGGAAGAAGGTGGTAATACAGGCAAATGTGGCCATGATCCATTAAGCGAAGAAGACTGAAACAAACCCTGGTTGGAGAAAGGATCCCCTGCACTCAAGCACTCACCAAGATTGTCATGGATACTCGCTTCTTGAACACACTTGTGTGCTACACTAATTTCAGGTATAATCAGGTTCCTTATGTTTGAATTACTGAATAAGAATGCAGCATTTGCATTAGAATTCAACTAATTTTTCACTAATTTTTATTCCATTTTCTAAATTTGTAGACACACAGGTTTTTAGAGTCGTTCCATAATATTATTTTGATGTATGCTCCCAAACGTCATGCATATTCGTAAGTATTTGGGCAAATAAACTATTTGGAAAATATACCTTTTTTCCCAGGGAAAAAAATTAGCTTTACAGTACATTGTACGTATTGTATACTTTAATTAAAATATGCAGTAATGGTAGTAAAACTTGTTTATCTGTAGATTTCCAGTGTACCGTGCCAGGAATCAACTTGCTGCGTTGGATTTCAACCATCACAAAGACAGAGAACAAGCAACTACAGCTGATGGTCAACTTCGGTATGTCTAATATCAGCAATCTGTTTATTTAATTTTTGCATGTTGCATTGTCATTTACTATATGGTAGTTGGTAATTGCATTTATAGATTTTAATTGGTTACTTAATTAAAGGTTTGGACGTAAGTTTAGTAAGAGAACACAACGCTGGTGCCATGTTCGTGTTCTGGTGCCAAAGCAATACACCCATATCCCAGAGCTCCTGCTCAAGATTTTTGAGAAAAGAATCCGTTCTGGTGGAACTGTCAATAGGAGAATTAGTTTGTTGGGTGAAGACCCAAGAAAGATAACTCCCAATATAGCTCCTGTTTATCCTCCTTCAGTAAAATCACTTGTTGAGGCACAGAAATCAAGATTTTAGAGACCGACACTCGTGGATCTGCAGGGATGAGGTGAATATCAGAGTTTGGGTAGATGGAGCTCATAAGCCTTGTTGGCAATTCATCTAAGAGAAGGAAAACTCTGATTTCAAACCCCCAGACCCCACCATGGGTCAGGCTATCCATGTCGGTCTCGTTGATGTTAATCAAAATTTCATCAATGTTTCCCAGGCATGCTGATGAGCTCTGATATAGAGCGAAACAGTCACACTGTGCATATTTAGCAAATTTCTCCCACCCGAAGAGCCATGCATGATAACAAATATAAGAGGATTGTGAAACTAACACACAATGTGTCCCTATTTAGTAGTTATTCTATCCAATACTGTACCAAACAACTTTACTTTTCAAGGAAAAGTATTGGACATTAATGAGTTAATTAAGAAAATGGGTTACTTATGAATAATTAACCCATTAATGTTCAACACCCCCAGTGCCCCTAGACAGAGTAGGGTGCATTTGGGCACATTAAGATAGGTTTGTTAACCCATTTACTGGCAGTACTCTACCAATGACGAGTAAAATCATCTAGCATTAGACAGATTAAGTACTAATTAGTAATGTGAATTTGGGCACATTTGACAGTCAAAGACTTTTCCTTTGACAATTAAAATCATATGGAATTAGACAGATGAGTAGTAGTTTTAACCGATCCATAGGGGCATGTTAATGACAGATATTATCTCTTAACCATTTCACAAACAATGCACTCCCATGCACCCCCTTCTAATTTTCTTACTCTGTCTAAGGCCAAAAGATTTTACTCATCAAAGGAAAATTATTGGAAGTTAATGGTTAAACAAAAAATTAAATTGCTCTGAGAAAAGGTACAGTATACACTGTATACATCCATGTGAAACACAATATTTTGTATTTTCTATTTGCATGAAAGGTGCACAAATGGGGAATCTGTCCCTTTCATATATGTGTAAGACAGTAAACTAGTTTTCATATCTTAACCCATTCACTGGCAGTACTCTATCACTGATGAGTAAAATTGTTGGGCGTTAGACAGAGTAAATACAAAAGTTGGGCACATTGCCAGTTAATGGGTTAAATATGCACACAGTCAACATTTGAGCAATCTTATTACAATGACTAACTAACCAAATAATTGTGAATTGGATTTGTTTCAGAACAATATCATATCAGTTTTGAACTGTAAATATCCTTAAAATGAATACTGTTGCGCAAATAGTGACTTGTGTGTCTTTAACAAAATAAATGTCTACAAACGTGAAGGCTGATAGCCTGTATAAATACCATTCGGCGAAGGGTAAGATGCAGCACGTATTGTTGTGACAGCAGCTCGGAACAACTCTTCTGTTGCCCCTTCCCAACTTGCCATATTGCCATAATACGAATTGTCGATATGCTGCATGTCGAAAGTTTTGATTGTTCCTAACTTCATTTAGAACAAGCATATTCCTGTATCGCATTGCAAGATCCAATACAATGCCATCAAGAATCACTTGCCTAAATAGATTGCTTTTTGAGATGCAGCTACGTCCTGGTCTTTCAGAACAGCATTTGTTCTCCTCCTGAGTTGGCATGACAACACAGTATCCACAGTTGCACCATGCAGGGGCCGGATTTTCAGGTTCTGGGCTTGGTAGTGGGGGTTGATTTGCACCTGGCAACTCACCATTCACAACATCAGCATATGCTCCTGGCTGCCTCCTCAACAGTGCTTTTGCAAAGTCTTTCAGGCTGACAAAATCCATTGCTTCTATTAGGTCCTAAAAAATAGACTCTTCGTAAATTTTAGTATATATTTCAAATAAAAGGCCTACTTGGTCAAGATCAAGATCAGCTCATTTTTAATTTTTCTAGCCTTGATCTTAATGACATGGGATAACAACTTAAAAGTAATTAACTGTTTTAATACTAGCTCAGTCAGACTAAAAAGAGTTTTCTTACATCCAATTCTTGTTCATGGTTGGCTAGAATTTCTGCAGCATTTGGCTGTTCAATTAAATGCCCTCAACCTCCACGACCTCCCCTACCACGACTTCTTCCTCTACCACGACTTCTTCCTCTACCACGACTCCTCTACCACAACCTCTTTGTCCACAACCTCCTTGTTGTCCAATCCCTTGGTCTGCCACTCTACCTCTCCCCCTTGCACTTCCCCTGCCACGTGTTTTCCCGTTCTTTTTCTTTCGATTCTCTTGCATCTCCAGCTCTTTCTCACTTTCAGTTTCTTCTTCAAATGTAAACCTACCTTTAAAACAATCTTCTCATTTATTCGTTACCCTTGTAGATGCTTCAGAAAATGCCAGAGATGCTGTAATTGAGCATCAAAAATATAAACGTTTTCTGGGAGAGGATCCCAGACCCTCCTATTTTCCTCACAGATCACTTACGTGCCGGGGTATTTTATTTATTTATTTACTAGCTTTGTCATAAATGACTGGTGATCCCTACAGGGCTTATTGCCCTATTCACAGGATCCCTTAAACTAAACATTTACTTCAATTACAACACATTTTATCTACAAGGCTCGACAAAGTGACATTTAACAAAGACAGTTTTAAACGATTGTGATACATTAATGTCATATATAAGTTCAGTCACTTCGTGATAATATTTCAACAAGTATGATTTGAATTGGCCAATTGTGACGTCAGTGTCACGGATATAAGATGGCAAGCAATTATATGTTCTAGGAGCTCTATTAAAATAGCTATTTTGAAAAGTTAAAGTGTTTACTCTAGGAACGTTAGTTAAAATACTTTTAGTTGAATTGTGTCTTGTGACACAACCACTAGACTTCACAACAATGTTTGGATAATTTGATTTCAGAGCTTTGAAGAAATATACCAAATCCAGGTACTCATGCCAGTAGGACAAAGGAAGTAACCCTGTTAATAGCAGCTGATCTTCATAATTGGTTTCAGACTGAAACGATAAGGATAATATAAACCTTGTTGCACGCCGTTGTACTTTCTCGAGATCAAGGATAAGTGCTACAGATTGTGGTGACCAGACTTGTGAGCTATACACGAAGTGACTTCGAACTAATGTTTTATACAGTGAGGTTCTTATACGTGGATCGCGCATGTTGGCTGAAGTCCTTCTTATGAATCCCAGCATTCTGTTGGCCTTTGTACATACAGCATTAACTTGTTTGCTCCATTTGAAATCTCCAGTAATTAAAACGCCGAGATTTCTTTGTACAGCTAGTTTCTTGATCAGTGAGGTGCTAGTATGATCATTGATCAAGTGATAGGATGACTGAACAGAAATTACATTTCTTGTCACTGTGAGAACACCACATTTAGACTGATTTAGGGTCATACGCCATACTTGACACCACTTGTTGATTTTATCAAAATCGCACTGGAGATCCCTAATGTCCTGGGCTTTACTTATTGCACGATAACACTTGGTGTCATCAGCAAACAGGGCTACGGACGATGTCGTGGTCTGTTGAGGTAAGTGATTCATGTACATTAGAAACAACAGAGGTCCAGGTATTGAGCCTTGAGGAACACCTGATAGTACGGGAATTGGACACGATGTCTTGCCTAGGACAATGACTTTCTGATGGCGGTTTGCAAGGTAGTTTTGAAACCAATTAAGCAGGTTTCCACAAATTGCAAAGTTACTTAGTTTTTTGAGTAGAAGCTTATGATCAAGTTTGTCAAAGGCTTTTGAGAAATCAAGATAAAGAATATCAGTTTGGATTCTTTGGTCAAGTGATTTCCCAATTTCATGAAGAACTTGCAGCAGCTGTAGACCTCCCCCTGAGAAACCCAAATTGAAGGTTATGCAGCTGACTTGACACATGGTTGATAATTTGATCATAGATGCAGCATTCTAGGACTTTAGAAACTATGGGAAGTAAAGATATTGGTCGGAAGTTCGAAACATCGTTCTTTACACCACCTGTAGGAATAGTATTATGTTGGAGATCTTCCATTCTGCTGGGATTTTGCCCGAACTCAAACTTTTGTTGAAGAGATCACTAAGCGATGAAGATATATAGGGAGCACAACAACATTTGAGCAATGTAGCTGGAATTCTGTCTGGACCTGTAGCTTTGTTGTCATCAAGAGAAAGAAGAATACGTCTAATGTCATCAGGTGAAATTGTGATATCACCTAATGGATTGCAGGATGTTGTGTTCGGGACTGGATGAGCATCGTAATCTTCTTGGGAAAGAGGTTGATTAAACATAGAATAGAAATAATTGTTTAAAAGATTTGCAGTTTCTTCCGGATTTGTTGCTGTAACAGTCCCATCATCGCGCTTCCAGGTAATTTTACTGGGAACACTTGATGAGCTTGAAACCGATTTGAATAACGATCAAAACCGTTTCTTATTTGATTTCATAACACCAGGCAAAGACTGGACGAATTCTTTTTGCTTTCGAGTTATAAGTGACTTACACGAACGTCAAAGGTGTTGGAAATTTTCCTACAGACTGTGCTCGAGCTCTTCAGTTTAGCTTTTCTTCTAGCTGTTTCTTTTTTATTTAACAGGTGGTGGATTTCACTGTCAAACCAAAGAGGAGATTTGCGTTTTTTAAGGATTTTGGTTGGAATATGACGATACACAGCATTCATAAAACCATCGTACCATTATTTCCAGATTTTGTCGATATCTAATTTATCTGAAACTGTCGATGGAGAGAGATTTATCGATGAAAGAGTTCTGTGCAAACCCTCCCAATCTGCTGAACGGTAATCCAGAACAGTTCGCGTGTCAGAGGAAGATAACTTGGCGAATACTTTGAATTCGGAAAAAAGGAGATTATGGTCACTAAAGAGGTCCATTGATTTTGGTAATATGCATGAGATATCAGTGACTGATTCAGGAATGTTAGTGAGGATAAGATCAAGGATGTTCTTGTGGGGAACACGTTGTAGAAATCCACACTTTCACAAACTTGTACGTTTTAAGATAGTTTTTACACCCAACACCAACAAGTACAAAGTTATTATAATACCCAACCCCCAAATCACTAAGATTCTAGCACCTAAAAGAATCACGTGATATGTCACCTACGTCATTACCCCCTAATCTCTATAGTTTCCGACACACTCCCCCATGTAACTCCTGGAAGGAGATACATGCAAAGGGAAACTATTCTATAGCAGACTTTTCTATAAGTGAAATAATGAATTATCAGTAATCAGTTCTTTCGACTGAGGAACAAAACACGTTCTATGATTTAAATATAATAGACTAGTTAGTAAACAAGCTAGAACACTATTAAAAAAGATATTCAATTGTCCTCTTGGGCAAGTTCTTCCACTCTTAATTCTGCAACCACTGCTGCATCTCGCTTTGGACGAAATGGCTTCGCTTGAGGATCTAGTTTGACGTCCTTCGACGGTTTCTTCGCCTTGCACTTTAACTCGAGAGGATAGAGATGTTGGACCGCTCATTCTAGGTGGGATCTTCCGCAACGCAACTTGACTGCTCGAACGATTCTGTCACGTCCAGGGAATAACTCTTCCACAACACCGAGTGGCCACTTACCTCGATTCTTTTCGTCGGTACGCACGATAACTACGTCACCGACCGCGGGAGAAATGAACTTTTCTTTCCGATTGCTGTTGTGCCGTTAACGTAATGCCTTCAGATACTCCCCAGTCCAGCGTTTCCATAGTGCGTTTTTACATGAGCGTAAGTGCTTTGCTCGCTTACGAAGATTCGTATATTCTTCTCGCCAAGGTTCCTGCTCGGGAAGACGACTCGTCCGTTGGTAAATAAACGCCGAAGGATTTAGGAGAGGAAGGTCAATATCTTCTTCTATGTAGGACAGGGGACGGCTGTTCAATTGAATCTCGACATCGAGAACCATGTCTGCAAGCTCATTCCACGAAAGCGTACCTCCCCCAACGCACTTGTAAAAGGCACGCTTAAAGATCCCCACCAATCTCTCAAACTGTCCACCCCACCAAGGGGCACGACTCAAATTAAATTTCCAGTGAATCTGCTCATCTGCCAAATAGCCTTGAAGCTGCTCGTTCTTTCTAACTTGTTTCATCCATCTCGCAGCCCCGATAAATGTACCACCGTTGTCAGATATCATCTTCACTGGCCGACCCAGACAAGCAATCAAACGCTTAAGACTGCCAAGAAAGGTTGTTGTCTCGAGATTAGGAAGGATTTCCAGATGCAAGGCCCTTGATAAACTGCATGCATACAGAACCAAGTATGCTTTCCGTTCAACTCGTGGAGACTTTCGATAACGAATGGGGCCTGCAAAATCCACGCCAATGATTTCAAAGGGTGCAGAGCCCTCGGTTCTTTCCTTGGGCAAAAGGCCGGGAGGAGGGACAGCGAGTGCCCGAGCTTGAAAGCGTTTGCATCCCCAACACGACTTAATCACTTTTTTCGCAAGTTTCCACAGTCGAGGAACCCAGTAATTTTCACGGACATGACCCATGGTCAGGCCGACCCCGCCATGTATCGTATGGCAGTCCTCGTGTTGAACTAGTTTCTCTGTGAACAAACTCGTATCTGGCAGGTATACAGGGTAGTGACCTTGAATTCGACCACGCCACTCGAGTATCCCACGTTCGTTGGCTTGAAGATTTAGTTGGAGTTTGTCATCCGGAAACTTCAGCGAGGTTTCTGCACGGGATTGAACTCGTTGTATCCACCACTCCATCTGTGACTCTAGCTCAACTGACGTAAGAGGACCACTAGCGGCTGGGATACCACAACATTTGTCTAGAAATCTCTTCATCAGTGCACAAACTCTTAGCATTTTCTTCAGGTTGCCTTGCTCGAGTAGATCGTCAAATTCATCCCTTTCGCTCACTGTCACGTTAGCAATCACTTCACAAATTAGTTTATTCTCTGCTGCCGACTCTGGACTTGGTTTCGTAACAGGATTCGTCGGCCACATTTTAGGACTGGACAACCACGACGGTCCGTTCCACCATAGATCGTTGTCAACCAAGCCACCACGACTTGCTAAATCTGCGGGATTTTCTCCTGAAGGAACGTGTCTCCACCCGTCGATGTTGTGTTCCAGGATCTTTCGCATGCGATTCGCTACGAACTGACGGTAGTCCCCATTTCCACTGATCCAATGCAAGGCCACAGTGCTATCGGTCCAACCGTGTACCGAGACGACAGGGAAACCTTCAAGAGCACGCCGCAAGTTATCTACGATATTTGCTGCCATGTGTGCAGCAACCAACTCCAGTCGAGGAATAGTGAGACCTTGCTCCGCTAATCTGGATTTGGCGGCTACCAGGTCTTGCGTTGTACCACTTGGCTGATGAACTACGGCATAAACTGCAGTAGCAACTCCATGACCACTTGCGTCGCCAAACGAATGCAGCTCTATCGCTTCGATCGGTTCACAATATGTAGCCAAACTCTGGGGTGTTGATATGATAGGAGGCAGGTTACATTCCCATGTTTTCCAACGCTTCGCTAAGTTCTCTGGCAATGGACCATCCCACGGTAGTTTTCTCTCACATGAATCGCGATACATCAACTTTCCTTGGAGCAAGATGGGCGACGCGAGTCCAAGTGGATCGTAAATACTCGCCAGCTTTGCAAGAACTTCTCTTTTTGTTGACACGTCTTGATTTGGGGGGAAAATCACACTCAACGTATCGTTCCGTTTGTCCCAAGCCACACCAAGGAGTTTACCGCCACTTTCGGACGATGGAGGAAATTGTTGCTTGGCATAGGTTTGGTCAGTGTCACTCTGTGAGGAAGGTTGATTCAACTCAAGCTCAGGAGCATTCGAATTCCACTTGTGGAGCTGAAACGAAGCATCTTCAAAGATGGTGATAGCATCTTGCTTCAGATCACTTGCTGAGGACACAGAAGAGGCACCGGATATAAGATCATCTACGTAAAGATCCCGAGAAATTTCGTTAACTCGATCTGGTAATCTCGGCGCCCAATTAGCCAAATGCTGCTCTATCACTCCTCCTAACAGAAATGGAGAAGACACCAACCCAAATAATGCTCGCATAAATCTTAACGACACAACTTCGTTCGAATTAATGTTCCTTAGCCAGTGGAATCGTAGAGCATCGCGATCTTCTTCTCGAATACGCACCTGGAGGAACGCTTTCTTCATATCTGCAGCAAGGATCATGGGATGGAATCTACCGCGGACAAGGACGTCCCATAACTTGTTCTGAAGAGCTGGACCAGTCTCAAGACAATCGTTCAGCGAGGGGCTTCCCTTTTCAGCGTGGGCTGAACAATCGTACACGATACGCATTTTGGTGCTTCGGACATTTTCTCTGATCACTGCACGATGGGGCATGTAATACTCACGACCGACAGGTTCAGGTGGTGCCCGTTCAACTATGCCTTGTTCCAGCTGCTCATTGATGATGTTGTTGTATTCTTCGAGTTTATTAGTGCTTTTCAATCTTTTGACGACTGACTGAAGGCAGCGAAGACTAGCTATACAGTTGTCAGGAAGGGAGGGATGATTACCTTTCCAAGGCAAACTTGTTTCGTACCAACCGCCGTCAGGATCATGTGCAAGTTGTTCGCGAAATTCCTGGTGCACAACGTCTTGATCACCCGAGGGAGAGTCTGCTAAACCAAGAACGTCTAGAGCACATAAACGCTCATAGTCTGTCGAAGAATTAACAGCTAGGAATCCAGTGACGTCATCACTATCTAAACCCGGGGCCATTATTGCCCAACCAAAACGAGTGTGCTGAGCGATTGGTTCTCCTTGTCTACCAATACAAGACTGAATTGACGTGCGTATTTTGGCGTATTCATTAGCGCCCAAAATCATGTGGACCGGTAATTTCTGTTTGGTAGCCACGTCGACTAATTCGATATCACGCAAGTGAGCATAGTTCTTAATTAACTCGTAGTTGTGGGAATTTTCTAAGCTTAAAAGTTCACTTTTCTCGATTTTCGTGATGCGTGCTTCCAGTTCGAAATTTCCTTTCACTGATTCGAGACGGATATCGTACTGGGAAAATTTGGAAGTGGAAGTACCCATTAATGTAGCAATTCTACGTGTTTCCTTTTTAACTTCACTTGCTTGCGTGAGTTCGACTAATCTGGCAGAAACATACGAGTGATGGCGCCACTGTCTAATAACGCACGGAATTTCATTCCACCGACTTTAACTACCACGATTAGATGAATTACTGTAGTTGGAGGCAATTTATTTGTTCCATTTCTCAAATGGGTTAAATTAACGTTTGAAGTCATCGCCAGTTCACCGTTGTCTTCAGGGTTTAAGCAAATGGGCGTATGATGCCGTTTTTTTTCATTTTTGGCAGGAAATTTTACTTTTACAGCTGCTGGCTGCGTGTTGCCCCGAGGCACAATTAAAGCAAAGCTTGTTATCAGCCAAATATTTCTTGCGTGCTTCAGGCGATGAAATTACATTACACTGGGTGGTCTTATGATCGGTACTTTGACAATAAACACACACATTAGAATCACGCGAGTGAAATGCACTCCCGTTCGAGATTTCTGGTCGCCTAGAGCTTCGTTTTTCGGTTTTAATAAACGCATTTGTCTCCGTCCATTTTCTTAAAGGCTCGAGCAGTTCTGAAAATGACCAATCTCTCCAATCACCCGAAACATGCGTGACTAACTCTGCTTTTAAAACCTCTAATTTCTTAATTATGATGTAAAGGGAAGCACCTTCAATCGTCTCAAGTTTTCCCAGTGTGCAGAGGCTCTCGACATTGAACAATAGTTGTTCATAAAATTTATGTATTTTACGAACATCGCGCTCAGTAACAGGCTGTAACTCTAACAAAGCAATGATATAGTGGCCGGCAACTTCACTAGGGTGACCATATTTCTCGCGTAATTACTTTATGGCGCGTGCATAACCTTCATCTGTAAATGGCAGACAGTCAAGCGCACTTCTAATATGTAGAACAACGAGTTCCTTTAGGTGAGAAAATTTGGTGATAGCTGGTACTTGTTGACTATCTACCATCGCATTGAATTGACCTTCAAACCGAACCCAATCCAAAGGAGTGCCATTGAATTTGGTTATTGTAAGTTTCGGTAGTTTTACCGACGCGGAGAATTTCACACTGAGCTCCTTTTGTTTGAGTTCGGCTTCAAGCTTTTGTTGTATCAATTGTTTTTCAAATCCAATCACAGTTTCTTGCCGTTTGGCTTCTTCAGCCGCTTTAAATTCATCGTCAATCACTTTAGCGCACTTAGATAGTTCAGCGCACTTAGATAGTTCAGCGCAAGATTTATCGGCGTAGGAAAGCTCTTGCGCGATCTCCTGAGACCATGTTGTGACCGTTTCTTCCGATTCACCCGCACTAAATTTTAGTTCTTCGATAGAGCTACGAAGATCTTCGACCGCTCTAGTTAAATTCAAAATGGTAATCTGGTGCCGTTCGACGGCTTCTCTATCACGTTTTGCTATGATTTCCTCAGCTTGCTTTAGTTTAAGACGTAAAGTTTTTAGCTTAGAGTCTATCTCTGTGAGTTGCTTTTTCATGGACATGATTAAAGTCGCGGTTTTTCACAGTCTCGAATGGTCAGGCAAGGCTTTTCATGCAGAAAACAATTGGAACATACTCACAGTTTCACAGTTGACTTGACTTATCCCGTCGGAAGTGCCAATAATGTGGGGAACACGTTAAATCCACACTTTCACAAAGTCACGAGTCACAAACTTGTACGTTTTAAGATAGTTTTTACACCCAACACCAACAAGTACAAAGTTATTATAATACCCAACCCCCAAATCACTAAGATTCTAGCACCTAAAAGAATCACATGATATGTCACCTACGTCATTACCCCCTAATCTCTATAGTTTCCGACAGTTCTTTGATTTAGTCAGAAACGGGTTAACTTGTTCCAGAAAGAATTCTTGTATAAGATCTCCAAATTGTATAGAGCTGGATGAAAGAGTTTGGGAAGCATTATCACAGTTCCAAACAAATTAAATCAGGAAAATTGAAGTCCCCAGTAATAACTATCTTTTCAGCAACTTGAAGAAAAGACGTAAAAAGATCAAGCCAATCGTTGAGATCACTGTTCGGTGCCGTCTGTAACAGACACACAGAAGGCACTTATTTGGTTTTGCAGTTAGAAGTTCAATCGCAAGAATTTCTAGATGATTAGACCAAGTCCCTGAAGCAACTCTGTTAATGTATTCCGTTACGCATTGCTAACAAGACACCTCCTCCATGTTTGTTAGAAGGGCAATCTTTTCTAATGATGTTGTACCCAGAAGGCAGTATTTCGTTGTCACTTATTCAGCCATGTTTCAGTTACTGATACGATATCCAAATTTTCTGCATAAACGATGTCTTGAAACGATTTGAGATTGCTTACAAACGTTCCATCTTTTCGCTTGTTCATGCTTCGGAGACTTTGCGCATTAAATGATAGGAAATTGTGAACATTGGGCTGTCCATTTATAACTGGACCTGGATTAGTAGCAATATCACCGGAAAGTAAAATATACGAAATTAAATGCAGGCTGTTATGTTTTATATCAAACTGTAACCCATATCGATAATGAGATTGGTAGCTGGATTTCTGCAAAATGATGTCTCGTGTGGACGTCCAAATACAACAGAGTTTATCATGTAAATATGTCAGTTCGGAAGTGATAAAAAAAGCCTTTAAAATTTGTATTTTCGTCCAAAAGGGTGAGATGTGGTTTTGACCTTGTGCATAGCCAAATAGTAACGACAAGAATAAAAATCTTGCCAACAATCATATTTAGTGGATCAAATTCAGGAAAATCCCTTCTATTGAAATCAAGATTACCGAACACGACACTTCAGCGTGCAGCCATCACGAAACTTTAAAGATGATAAAATATTGAACAAATAAACACAAGAAATGTATTAAAATGATGCTATTCATGAGATGAACACAAATCCAAAATGTAGAGTTCTCTTTAAACACCCAAATTCGAGATGTGAGACATACAACAACGTAAAGTTGTTGCTATGGAACACGACGCCAGACAAAATTCAAATTCAAAGTTCAAACGGTCAAAATAATGAGAGTACAATAAATCACAAATAGACTATCCAAAGTTTACAAAATTTGCACACCACAACTGGAACACGATTTCTAGTTACCGTAGGATATTTCAGTCAAATAGAACCAACGATGACAAAGATATTGAACGTCAACCAAGATCCCAACTTTACAGCGAGTGATACGAGAATATGATACCATGCAATTATCGTAAATAAATTCAAAATAACTCTTTCGGTGAAATAACACCAATTTCAAAGTACCATAACCAGATTAACTAAGACTTTTTCAGGGTAATGGAAAAGAAGGTAAAATCGGGGCGACCGAAGCTCCCCAAAAGATATTAGAGTGCGAGAACCTAATATTCTTTGCCGCCTGAAAAGCAAATTTAAGGTTGTTATATATTGAATATCCATGATTCCCAGTTACATGTTTTGAAACTGTTTTTGTGAGTGCTTGTGTAAAACAAATCTTTGCCAGAACTTAAGAGCCTCTAGATTCAAATTGTTTGGGGGAACACATGCACCCCCCCTAGCTCCCGCACCCAAATTCTCCCACCCAACCACACCATTATTCTGTCACTTATATGCAGGTAAAAAATCCTTTCACCCCACCCCCTCCCAGTCAAACACCCGTTGCTTTCGTAACATCCCTATATGTGCAGTTCTAAATTTTTCTTAAAATAAATGCTGACACTGTCTATGGTTAATAGCTAATACAGTACTCCGCCCTATATTAGTAGGGCGTTGTGAAAACCCGGAATATGGCAGAATATCACGGAATATGCCAGAATAACATGACATTTTCCATCACGATATTTTCCGATGGTAGCTATGCGACTTTTTATAAACATGGACATCTGACAACATTTTTATAATGGATATTTCCCATTTTGATGGTAAGTAACAAACAATAACTCTATACTGGAAGTTTTATATGTTATATCATTATTACGAGTGTTCACCAAAAAATTTGAATCAATATGATTAATTCCTCCTGAGTTAATCTGTTAGGTCGCACCGTTTGCAAGGTCTAACGACATTGGCTACAGCATGTTAATTGGTGGTCGTGGTGGTCGACGAATCACAGAATCACTTTAGAGGCCTTTCTTACTTCCGCTTGAATCTCGCTTTGAGACTCGAGAAAGATCGAGTGCGATGAATAAATTCACGAGTTAAATATATAATATCCATGGCAATTGCCTGTTTGTAAATATAACAATTGAGTTGCGAAGAATATTTTATGAGTTAAATTGATACAATATCAATTAAATCGATACAAAATCACTTAATAAATATATAATATCCGCGATAACCATGATATACACTCTAAATTTCTGAGTGTTCACCCAACACCAAAATTGGTGTAAATCTTTGCCTCCATCCGTACACCAAAAAGGTGTAAAAAAACACTTAAAATGGTGTTAATTTTACCTTAATTTGGCGTAAATGAAAACCGGGAAAATTGTTTTTATACACCAAGAAGTGTTCTTTTTTATCCAAAGTTTGTGTAAATTGCTTGCCTCCATTTGTACACCAAACCGGTGTAAATTGACTTTTCGAAGTGTAGAATTACACCACCGAGTGTTTCCTTACACCAAGATGGTGTAAATTGCTTGCCTCCATTCGTACACCAAACTGGTGTAAATTGACTTTTCGAAGTGTAAAATTACACCAGTAAGTGTTTTTTTTACCCACAGTTAGTGTAAATTGCTTGCCTCCATTATCATTTGTACACCAAACCGGTGTAAATTGACTTTTCGAAGTGTAGAATTACACCATATGGTGCAAATGTTTCACTTCCATTTGGACACCAAAGTAGTGTAAATCTATACTTCAAAGAATAAAATTACACCAACACTTGTTTTTAGCACGTTTAGAATATTAACAAACAAATTGCAATTTAAAATAATTTAATGCTGAAAAATATTGCAAGATTATTTACATTACCAATCTAACAATATACAGTGGTAAATATCTCCACATGTTCATGGTCAGCCTATATCTTACTAAGTTCTGACATCAAAGTTAATACTTTGGTTGGAACGTTCTGGTTATCAAATACTTTAACTCATTAAGTTGCAGACTGTTGCAACATTGGCACTCCCCCAAGTTGCAAGGAAAATGGCGAATTTTAGTTACTGTCAACTTCTGTCAACTGCTTTTACAAAAATACCCATATCTCAAGATCAATGTTATAAAAAACCTTGAAATTTTGCAGTGGGTTAAAATGATAAATTATTAATCAATTCTATTTTAAATGAGCTCCCACACTTAAATATATCATTAGATTTTTGGGTGAGAATTCTTGGTTTGTGTAAATTTAAGTTCCTGACATTTTGTTTCTTCATGACACCCAACATCTGAAGGGCAATAATTCAATAACCCAACATAAATGGAGAAATATTTTTTGATTCCTGGATTGGTACACATTTATTTTCAAATTAGTTTTCATCTTGTAGGGTATAAATTACAAAATAATGAAACGCTATAAAAATTTGCATAGCTCAGGCACACTCAGGACATCTAGATAGTTTACAATGGAGAACTTGAACTTCAGAACTTGTTGTTCAAGTCCAAAAACTTTGTAACCCAAAAATACAGTGTTTGTACCTCTTTGAAGTTTTTAAATAGCTCAAATATGTTTGGAAAAACACGAAGTACAAAAATTACTAATTAAAATATAAACAAAGGATGAAAAAGGTGAGAAAATTTTAAAATATTTGAGGTGTTTTCAATTCTGACTTTGACAGCCGGCATTTTCAAACGCAGCGTGCGGTGACAAAACAAAAGGCTTTTTATTTTGCTATTAAGAGCACTGAAAGTCGTCAAAAAGAGATAAACACTTTTGAATATTCATCAGGTAAGAATTTTAACTGAAATTCCTTTTGTTTCTGTTGAGAAAACAACGGATTTGTGGCTAAAACGTCGTGCGCGCCAATGTAGGTTGCTGTAAAATGTCAGACAGGCGGTTTCTTTTGAAATCTGACTCTAGTTTGAAATCTGACTCTAGCTTGAAATAAGTCCTTTTCAAGGACCAATTGTATAAAAATATAATATGTATGCTCAAATAAAATGAATAATCTAATATTTAGGCATTTTAGATTGCTATAAAAGAGTGAAATAAAGGATTTCATCTTTGGTTGTTTGTCAGACGAGAGTAAACACATTGGTGACACTTTGTTGCGCATGCAGTTTTCAAAATATAACTGCTAAAAATATAGCTTTTATTTCACCAAATAGCAAAGTATCTTGCAGATATTATTAAAAGAGCTCAAGCGAAGTAATTCCATGATAAATAAGTGAAGAATGAGACCAAAAAAGCGACTAAATTACAATTTTGGAAAGTACATAAATTTAATGGCTTCCCGCAAAAGAAGCCATTTCAGAGGAGAACGGCATTTTGTAAACTGCTCTCCTGACCTATTTTAAACTTTTCCTTCAGGTAATCGATGAGTACTTCTTAGAAAATGAGCGTACATTAGTTTTATGATGTGCTTTA